GCTCTTTCCTTGCACAATGCTGCCCAGGGATGGACAGATTTCTCTCCTTCTTTGGGCTCTGGACAGACCTGGAGCGGATGTTTGGACACACCTTACTCATCGGACACATAGGAAACCCGCCCACCAATCGTCCCTTGAACAGTCTTGGGAAATGGGGACACATTACCAATGTGGAGACAGAAGATGAATCTCTTAAAGAAGGTGTAACTCGGAGGCAGGAAAGGAAGGTTTGTGTTGTCAGTGGACGGAGGAAAGCCTTAGACGGCGAAGGCGTGCTGGGGTGGGCAGCTCTGAGGTCAGATCCTGCTTCTGGGGCTTGGAGGGGTCGGGTGGGTGAACTGCAGACGGCCTCTGAAGACGCCTGTCGCTAACGGTGCTAATTTCCCTGACCTTTTCCAGCAGGCGCTGCCTCTGCAGCGGGGCAGGGCTCACAGATCTGCCTCACAAAGATGCTGCCAGGAATAGCTTACTACTCGCGGGGAAAAGGAACTTGCTTTGAAAAAAAAAATGAAAGCGCTAAAATAAGAACAGCCCTGCTTCAGACCCCGCTTTTGTTCATCTCTCAAGTACACAGTCCTCTTCCGTGCGTGCGAATTGGGCCAGGCCTTCTCCCACCACTGGGGAGGCACCGTCTGTGCTGGGAGCTGATCTTCCCGGCCTGCTGAGGAGGTGCCTGGGTGACTCGCTGAGAGGGGGCTGCTGCTTGGAGCCACCACTCAGCCCTCTCCGAGGCACCGGCCAGACGCGTTTTCTGCACTGGGGCCTGCTGAGAAAGGCCCTCAGGTCACCCCTCACTGGCTCTGTCACTCACTGATGCACCCCAATCCCGTGAGCGTCAGCTACACTCTGAGGCTGGGCTGTGTGCGGAGCACTGTCACCCAAATCCTGGCCCCTGCCCTCGGGGACCATAGTTAGAAACCAAGTTTATCTTGAATTTCTCAAGATCAAGGGCAGGCCTTTTAGGCCTTCTTGGACCCAGACCCGCAGCATGCCCACACTTATTCGAGTGTGTGCACGACCGTGCTCAGGGCTTCTCTCCATCTGTGCCAGGAACTCCTCCAGTTACACGTCACTGCATCCCCGCGGGAGGGAATCAGTATTTATAGTTAAGAGAGAAATAGCTTCGTATGCCCAGAGTGTGCCTGGAGCCAGCTGGTGGGGAAGACCTTCTGTGCCATGTCCAGGCATAGGAGATTCATGAAGGAATGGGGAGTGACGGAGGCCTGAGAGCGGGGGACAGAGGGTTAGCTCTGTCTGGGCAGAGGAAACGTGGAGAGCATGTCAGGCGGGAAGAGGCTGCTCTAGAACAGGGCAGCGTGAGGGCCTGTGGGATTTGGTGGTCAGGGACTGTGGAGCCAGTCAGCCTGGGTTCAAGCTGACCATCACTAAGTCGGAGATGTTGGGAAGATACCGACATTCTCTAAGAATCAGTTTCTTCATCCACTAAATGGGGTATAATAGTAATAATAATATCTACTCTATAGGGTTTTTGAGAGAATTCACTAAGATACATGGCTAGTGCTGGACACAATTTCTCACCTGGGTAGCATTTTGTAACTATTTTGGAGTAACAGCGATAGATATCTGACTTAGGGGATGACAGTGAGAATAGAGAAGGGTCAAATTGGGGAACTTAGCCTTAGTGACCAACCGAGTGTGGTCAGGGCCAGAGAGGAGATGGCCGGAATTATGATTTCTTTCTGAGGCAGTAGGTGGGGTGTAGACTGGCAAAGAGCTGGTAGAGGAAGAACCAGCAAAAGCTGGAAGCAGAGGCGATGAGAGATGAGGTGTAGACAGGCTCCACTTGAGGTACCTGTTAAACATGCAGCTGAGGCTTGAGGGAGGTGAGCTTAAGTAGTTGGAACTAAGGGAGAGAGTGACCCTTAGCTTGGATGCACAGATGAATAAATACCGCAAGAGGCTGAGAGGTCTGCACTTAGTTACCTGGCCTTCTAGGACATTCTGCTTTGCCCGTGTAGCACAACAAGGGTAGAGCTTGGATTCTAGTTTAGGACTGACTACAAAATCCACGCCTTAGCTACCCGGCTGTAACAAGGCAGACGATTCCGAGAATGTTTTCCTTCTCCAGGGCAGGAGCTTATGTCCATGTCACAACAGGCGCTGAGAACTGAGTGGCCCCTGTTAATAATTACAGGGGCCCAGCAGCTTGGTCTCTCTTTCTGAGCGAACGGGGCGGGGAAGGAGGTTATTCTTAGTAATCATCTGATGAACAGAACGCCATACCTGACACTCTGATAAAACAACCCCCAACGCTTCTGGCTGCACCTGCTCCTTTGCTGGTTTTATTTATCTGAGAAAGGCTAGGAAATGTGATTCCACAAGTTCGCCTGAATACGTAGCAGAACTGACAGGGAACTGTGCCCATCCCTGGTTATCCAACTGTGGCCACTGAAGTCACTTCACCCCTCTGTCCCATGTAGGGTATCTGGGAAATTGGGAGGTAGATAGGACTGGAAGAAGAATCATGAGGTTGGAGCAGTGCAGTGGGGTTTAAGGAGGAACTGTAAAGAATGTTCCTAATGCAGCTGTGTGAGCAGGGAGAAGGGTATTAGCCCATCAGCACGGGGAGTGGGGAAGGAGGAGGGAGAGCAGCAGTGGAGCCTGGGAGCGGGGGCTCTCAGGTGAGCTCCCGGGTGGAAACTCTTCGCACCTGGCTGGAGCTGGCCTACACAGTCCGGCTGTAGTCAGGCCTACTGAAGCTGGATGGTCATCAAGGTGTGGGAATCTCAGAATAGTAGGAAGAAAAGGATGAGTATTTGAGAACTACCTTTTATAGGCCAAGGTCAGGGGGCTCTGCATGGTCTGCTCTCAGCAGGGGACCCAGGAGGTGACAATGGTTAACAACCCAGTGAGTGGGAATTCTGAGGCTCATTTTACAGATAGAGATTGCCCCGGGGCCTTACCACTGCCACTCTATGGCCAGATGAGGTTCCAAGCCCTATCTTTTGGAGCCAATGCTATGTTGCTGGACCATGCATGCCACCCAGGGCTCATTTAACCAGTTTCCCCTGCAGAGTCCTAGGAATTCCCATGTGAATCCTCATTCACTTGCTCTTCCAGCAGCTGTTAAGCGCTTGGTAGGTTCAAAGCACTTGAAGATTTCCTAAATCCCAAGTACTGTGTTGTGTTCCCAGTTCCAAGGAGAACAGAGCCCTCTCCTCACAGGGATCAGAAGCTAGTGTCTCCCCGTGCATTCACATAGGCCCTCCTGGAAACATCGCCCAAATACCCTACCTTGCCCTCGTCAAAGGTCTTTCTGTAAACACCTCCTCCACAGTGTGTGGCTGAGCTGGAGAGAGGCTTTGTTTCGCAGAGTCACAGTGAGCCTTGGCAGCAGTAAAGGACAGAGGCCCCCACGAGTGAAACGAGGCTTTCCTGCGTGGCTCAGGTCCACCTGTAATTCTCGGGTGAAATTGCCCCAAGTGAACGGAAGCTGATTGGCAGGCTTCTGGCTTCATCTCAGAACCTCTTCATATTCATGTCTTTGCACTGATTTTCCTTTTTTTCTGCTTCTAATCAAAATTCTGGGTCTGCTTCTAACCTCCCATTGATCTAGAAACTCTTGATTCTCCTCCTATTCACCCGAGGAAGTGATGTCCTCTTTGCTTGGCATTTCTAGATCTTACCATTGAGCTCATAGAGGCCCTCTGCCTCCCAAAGGCTCCCCTCATCTTTCATTCACTGAGATCTCCCTCCTTCTTGGACACCAAGCCTCGGTTTTCATCTTTTCACTCTGAAACTTCTCATCTGCTTTCTCCCTCCCTCCCCTACCCTCTCCACTTTGGACCATCCTTCAGAGCTTTTGAACTTAGTCTACTGCTTCTGATCTGAAATCCTCCATTTCTCTCAAAGCCTTCGTTCCCCTTCATCTCTGACCCCTTTGCTTGGTCACCGGCTGGAAGGGAAGTCACTTCCCCCTGAAGCACACTTCCTGTCTCCGCTGGCCTCCTTTATCACAATGTGTTGAGTGCCGATGGCTTCACAGGCCCGGGCAGCAGAGGAAGTGACGGCGTGGCAGGCATCGGAACAGACCCTTGCCAAGGTAGCATAATCAATGTCTACAGGAGAATGCGGGGAGACTGGCGGCCAGGGAGGAAGTGACCGATGCACTGAGTGGTCACAGGTGGCTTTCGAACTGGATTTTGAAAAATGGAAGGAAGTTTCCAAGGAAAGAAGTGAAGCAAAAGCATCCCAGAAACGAGGGGCAACAGGTGTGAAATGGCACCTGGGGAACGTCGGCGCTCAGAGGGGCTGCAGGAAATGAAGGAGGGAGGAGGGACTGGGTGATGAAGGGAGAGCCTTTATGCCTTGCCAAGAATTCCGAAGGCCATGGAGGCGGAGTAGAGGGTTTTGAGGAGAACCCTAACAGTCAGATGTAGAAAGTTCACCTGAACTAAAGAGGAGGCACTTCCTGCGAGCAGCTGCAGCAGGGGACAGACAAGAGATTATTGTGATAGTATAGGCAAGAACGGAGGAGAGCATTTAAGAAGTGGGTTAAAGGCAGGAAGGGCCCTAACCGGTTTGGCTCAGTGGACAGAGCATTGGCCTGCAGACTGAAATGTCCCAGATTTGATTCCGGTCAAGGGCATGTACCTTGGTTGCGGGCACATACCCAGTAGGCAGTGTGCAAGAGGCAGCTGACCGATGTTTTTCTCTCATTGATGTTTCTAACTTTCTATCCCTTTCCCTTCCTCTCTGTAAAAAATCAATAAAATATGTGGATTTTTTTTAATGTTTAGAAGGCGGGAAGGATAGTAAGGATGCTGAGGTCACATTGACGTGACTTGGTGTCTAGTTGGGTATTGGTGGCGATGGCAGTTTCTGAACAAGGCGACCGGATGGAAACTGATGCCATTAACTTGGAGGAGAAAACGTGGGGGTGGGGCAGGGGAGGGAGGGGACACCGGGGTGCATGCCCACGCGCTGTGTGTGACATGCCACATACGGGTGCTGTACGGACATGTCCCTCTGTGTTGCAGCCCTGGCAGGTGGTCTCCAGGTCACAGTGCCCGACAAGAAGCAGGTGGCCATGCTCTTCCAGCCCACGCTGCTCCGCTGCCACTTCTCCACGTCCTCCCGCCAGCCCGCCGTCGTGCAGTGGAAGTTCAAGTCCTACTGCCAGGACCGCATGGGGGAGTCCCTGGGCCTGGCCTCTCCCAGGGCCCAGGCTCTCAGCAAGAGGAACCTGGAGTGGGACCCCTACCTGGACTGCCTGGACAGCCGGAGGACCGTTCGCGTGGTCGCTTCAAAACAGGGCTCGACCGTCACCCTGGGCGACTTCTACCGGGGCAGAGAGGTCACCATTGTCCACGGTAACGAAGCTCTGCTTTGGATTAGGATGGGAGGGACCTTAGTTCCAGACTCCGGGGATACTGGCCTCTCAGCCTCTCAGCCCCCCAAGGCTGATTTTCTGGGACATGGGAGCAGCAAGAACCCATCAACTTACTTTAATGGGCTCGTGGGGGGAGCATGTGACAGCCAGAGCAGACGGAGCTGAGCTCGAGGAGCGTCCTTTCTGTCCTGCCCTCCAGTTGGAGGGCCGTGCTGTCAGAACCAAGATTAAATAGGTTCTAGCAAAAGAACAGCCTCGGTCAGACACCTTGACGTCAGTCTGCAGGGCCTTTCCTAACTCAGAAAGCAGACTCCTCCCTGGGGGAAAGGTGCACCCCTGCGGTCCTGAGCCAGGAGGCTGCCTCGCACATGCCCCACGTCGTGTTCTCTCTCCTCCCCCCTGCTCCTGCTCCCCCCAGCTTTGGACAAGACAGGGGCCTCGGAGTCTGGTTTGATCTATGGGGATATTTGCATGCTGAAGAACTGCTGTGAAGCCAGCTCCTTTGCAGCAGTCCAGGTGATTCTAGAATGTACCTGGCTCTCGGGTCCTCTACGCCCACTTGGCTGCTTGGTCTTCTGTTCCTGGCCCCGCCCTGGAACAAGACCGATTCTACTGGGGCTCCTGGTCTCTGGCCTCAGGGACGCTGGGTTTTTATTTTGCACGTTTGTTTAGGGAAGTCAGACACCTTGTCAGCCACCATCCAGGTAGACCGGACTCTGCGGACACGCCCCAGGGGCCCCCTCAGCTGCATGTTGCTTATTGCTCTTCTCAGAGGCCAGGTGCAGGATTGGGTAATTCTCTCTGTGCTGACAGATGCAGACCTTCAAATTGGAAAACTCATGTGGGGAGACAGCGGCCTCTATTACTGTATCATCACCACCCCCGATGACCTGGAGGGCAAAAACGAGGACTCGGTGGAGCTGCTGGTGTTGGGTGAGTGGAGACATGAACATCTTAGCTGCTGGCCAGTTCCCCTTCTCCATCCCCTGCACACGGCCCTTACCCTCTACAGCCTGACAGAGCGCTTCAGGTGGCCGGCATTTCTCCCGTCTCGTTTCTTGGTGGCTATGGCCCGCTACTTAGCAATGTCCTGAGTGTTTCTTTTGCTCTGTTAGGTTTTCTGGTTTTTTTTTCTTCCTTTCATTTGCATCATTAACCCAGCTTTCTCTCGCTCCAAGCTTTACTTATCTTTATATGCTAACCCTGAAGGAACCGCCTGAGGCCCCTCAAGAGGGTAGAGACCCAGGAGAGCTGGGAAATCACTGGTGAGTCAGGACCTCTGAGAATCGGAATCCTTCCCATTCATTAGCTCCACTTAGGACAATTACGGGGAGATGGCTGAGAACTGGAGAATTTCATGCTGAATGGCGCCATCGCAAAGAGCTGCTGAGCAATGTGGCAGCGTGTAATTGGAAGGCCAATTTCTTGAGTCCTAGAAGTGTCTGAGTTCTTCTCGAAGCAAATATCTATCTAATCCTTATTAATAGCAGTTTCTCCATTAATGCCAACTCATTACTTTGGGCTACTGTTCCCCTTTCGTGGACTGGAGGGATGTCAGTGGGGTGACCTCCTATGAACTTAAAATTGAGCACGTATTTCGTGCTCTATAAGTGTTGGTTAAACAAGGAAATTGAAGTAAAAAATAGGAATGAAAAAGAGAAACTATATAAATTGTAGGGGAAAAGGTAAACACTTGATGCCAGTTTTTTAAAGAAATTACTTTTTTTTTTTTTTTTTTTTTTTTTTTTTTTTAGCTTTTAAGAAACCATGTGATAACCATTTGGGAGAATATTTAAGGTTTAAAGGCAAATGAGGTTATAGGTTAATTTGCACCCTCCCTGGGAAACTCAGTCCCCAGGGACAACTTGAATTGGCCACTTAGGATTTCGTTTCATTCAACCATGACTGTGATTTTGGCAAATCAATGGTTCTGCTGCCTTAACTTTGTAACTTACAGAATGGATGAAGTAATAATGATTAAAAATCATCTCTTTATTGTGAATAATCAACCCTTATCGGAGGGTTGACTTAATTCAAGTGCATATACCTTTGGCCAGTGCATCATACAGCCATACTCCTGGGGTCCGGGAAGGAATGGGAGTGGATTGGAGAGGAGATAAAGGGATGGACAGCTTCTGAGCGTTTTGTAAAAGGACCCTGGGAAACCAGATGGGGGTCGGCTGGGCTCTGGTGACTCAGAAGGAGGAAGAGATAAATGTCTGCATCATCACACACCGCAAGCGGCCAGGTCAGAAACCAGCAGCTCGCTGACTGGGCGGTTATCTGGCCAGTGCCGCCATCATGGGGAAGTGGAGCCTGTGCAGGGGAAGTGGACGGGTAGAAACCACTCAGTAGTCCGGCCCCGGTTCCAGGCGTGGGGAAGGAGCGAGGCGGTGCTGTGTGTGGGAAGGGGGTTAGGGAGCCTATAAATAACCTGGGCAAAGATGCATTCCAGGACAACAGGGTGGAGTAAGGAATGCTCAGGTGGAAGAGGTCGCCCACGATGGGCAAAAAGATGGAGAGCAGAAATCAGTGCTACTTAAAGCGAAGCAGAAAGGAAAACAGGGGCCCTAGCCGGTTTGGCTCAGTGGATAGAGTGTCGGCCTGCAGACTGAAGGGTCCAGGGTTTGACTTCCATCAAGGGCCCAGGCCTGGTTGTGGGCTCAATCCCCAGCAGGGGTTTGCAGGAGGCAGCCAATCAGTGATTTTCCCCCCCATCATTGATGATTCTATGTCTTTCTATCCCTCCCTCTCTGAAATCAATAAAACCACACACACACACACACACACACACACACACACAGACACACACACACACTGGGGAGGCCACAACCCAGCCCATCACAGCAGAGGTGGCATGTCTCACAATTCCACTGTGTTCACAGGAATTAGAAACATGCAGATACATTTGCCATGTAAACTTTTTAGGGAACTCTAGATGTGTAGTTAACTAAAGAGGTTGCCTTGACACCTACAGGAATATTCTGGGTGCCATAAAGGACTATATTTACTTCCCAAATGCAAAATTCTGAGCATTTGTGCCTTGACTCCCTTTATAATAGAGTTTTTCAAAATACTGTCAGTCTGGAAGCCCGGTTATTGGTGTTGTACCTGCAGGCCCATCTGTTAGGTGTTCTTTTCAGGTGAGACCAGGAGAGCATCCCGATTTGTGAGGTCGGCCTCGAGGAGCTGAAGGCCTCAGGGGGAAGGTAACAGGCTCACAATCTGCTTATTTCAGTCCCATGAGCCACCGGCTCGGGCACTGAACTTGGCATGAGGAGGGGTGGGAGGACCTGGTCCAGGGGAAGAGGACGTGGAACAGGAGCCTGGGACGTGTCTCCAGAGGGACTGGAAGCTTGCTGTGAGGCCGGATAAAATGAGAGCCAGGTGTGGACGTCACAGGCTGGGGAGTGCATTTCCGTGAGAGCAGGAGCTGCTGACGGCTGGAGACATGGGAAGAAGGACAGTCTTCTCTGGAGCAGTGACTCCCATGTCCTTAAGCGGTTGAAAACTTTCTTAAGAGTTTCATCAAGCTTTTATGCTTAGGAACGGTGCTTCACTAAGTTACTTCTGAGCTTTATTTCAATTCTAAAATTCTAAAATCTCACATTAAAATGTAGATGAACGTGAGTGATGCGACTACCTTGAGAAAATGACTTCCCGGAAATTCGTGGCAGAGATGAAAGGTTACGGGTTGGTTATAAGGACACGCAGTGTGATGCTCGTTCACAGAGAAGCCGGGTGGCGGGGGTGGGGGGGTGGGATAAAGGGTGGCCTTCTGCAGAGAGTTCAGGGCTAACGGGTGGTCCCACCGGAATGAGAAGACTCTTGATGATGATTGAAGGAGCTGAAATGTTAGCTCTTCTTGGAGTTCATCACAAAATGGGCAGCAGATAACTGGTTGGAATTTCAGAGGACCAATCAGCAAAGATGGGCGAATTAGAGCAAAGATCAGAGAATTTAGTTTTCTGTTTATGCTCACAAAGACGAACATGGAGAAGTGGCTGGAGCAGATGGTGAAGTGTCTTATATGTAGGACTGAGAAGTTTGAACTTCATCTTGAAGACCATGGGGAGCTGGTGAAGAAACTCTAGCAGAAGAATGAAACTAGACCTCAGGGCGGGAGTATGATTAGCAGCAGGGTAGACAATGCACTGAGGAGGGTGTGCTGGGAGAGGGGGCAGTCAGGGGGCTGCTGGAGAGCACAGAGGGGTGGATTGACAAAAGTCGGCATAGAAACATTTCTGAGGTCACAGGACTCCTAGTTCCCTGGGTAGCCAACCGCTCCACCAACTCAAAGAGAGGACACTGGGCGGAGAGCAGGTTGGGGGGCAGGAGAATGAGTTTGGTTCTGGATGTGTTGAACATGAAAGGCCTTGTGGGGCATCCAGACGGTGTCCCAATTAGAAATATAGGCCTGGAACTCGGTGGAGAAGCGAGGATGAGAGACAATAGATTAGAGAACCATGAGTGATAGTCAGAACCATGAAAGAAGGGATGAGCCAACCAGGAAGATTATATAAAGGGCAGAGGGCCAAGGACGGAACCCATCAGGCATATGTCCTACTTTCACTTCAGGAAAATGGTAGCATGGCCACTGCCTATGGCATGTCTCCATTTCCCTACAACGCAGGGAGCTCTCCAACAGCGAGGGCCGTGGGTCAGCAGAGGCGCGGACCACTCCCCTCTGTGTTTGCATCTGCGCTGCCTAGCGGAGGGTCTGCAGTAAGGAAGCTTGAGGGCATTTTCCCCCCTCAAATGATAAGTGGGCAGAATCTGTAATTAATGCTTACTTTGTTCCTCTTAAATGTTAGTTAGCGCTGAGCATTTATTTGTTGATTGATAGAGTGTCAATACAATAAGCATCTACAATCTCCAGAGAGAATATGCATTAATCTCCTTAGTCTTAATTCTCCAGCTGGGTATTTACATTATTACTCATAGTCTATCGATCAGGGACTGTGGTGGAAAGCAACAATTACACGCTGGGTAGCAGAAAGGAATTCATTGGAAGGAAATTGCAAGGAAGACAGGAAAGTCAGTCTCTGAAAGGATAGTAGTACATTAGGGTAACGCTTGTTAACTCCTGTAAAAGCAGTGCCCAAATCTCAATGACTTATCACCACGGAAGTTGGTTACTTCATCTGGTCATAGATGAGGGTAGGAGGCTCACCTGATTGCCCCCTTCCCGGTGGTGGTATAAGGGGTCTGGCTGCTCCATTGTTCAACTCTGCTGCATGGGAGACCATTGGTCCCAGCCACACAGAAAGATAGAATGAGGCAGGTCAGATGGGACTTTTTAGAGACCAGGTCTGGGTCACCTGTTTTGTATGTGCCCAGGAAGAGAGTTAGACTGTGCAGATGAACAGCCTCATCCCTGCCCTGCCAGAGCTGCCCCGGGGTCTGTGTAGCAAGAATTGGTAGGCAGCCGAAACCGGTTTGGCTCAGTGGATAGAGCGTTGGCCTGCTGACTCAAGGGTCCCGAGTTCGATTCCGGTAAAGGTTGCGGTACCTTGGTTGTGGGCACATCCCCAGTGGGGGGTGTGCAAGAGGCGGCTAATTGTTGTTTCTCTCTCATCGATATTTTTGACTTTCCCTCTCCTTTCCTCTCTGTAAAAAAAATAAATAAATAAATAAAAAATCAATAAAATATATTAAAAAAAAAAAAAATTGGTAGGCAGTGTGTTTAGGGTTCCAGGGCCAGAAAACATCAGTAGAACTGTTATATTTTCTGCTCTTGCATTTTCCCATCCAAGAATCAGCCTCAGGAGAGAGTCCCGTTGGCCCAGTTTGGACAGGTGTCCATGCTTAGCCTTGGGTGCTCAAGGGCTGCTGGACAGCTAGTCTCTCGAGATATGAAAGAGAATTGATTTCCCAAGTAAACTTTGGAGCACGATGACAAAGTAAGACAGGACATGAGATGCCCCCAAAGC